AAGGGCTGGGGGGGCTGGGGTTGGAGCTCGTTGGTAAAGTGTTTGCCTAACGTGTGTGAGGCACTGGGTTCCACCTCAGCACCATATATAAATAAATAAAATAAAGGTCCATTGACAACTAAAAAAAATATTAAAAAGTGGGGGCGCGGGGGGTGTAGATACAGCCTACTGATACAGCACCTCCCTAGCATACACAAGGCCCTGGGATTGATTCCCAGTAAAACACACACATTCACAGATTAAAATATTAATTTAAGGCTTACATTCTAAGGAAACTCCTGTATTTGAACAAGACAATGTACATCTCTCTCACTTAGCATATTAAAACAGGCAGATGGAGGAAGAGGGACCTGTACCAGCAGGAAAGACTTTAGAAATTCCAAAGAATTCATCTGTCTCCTCTTTTGACTATGGAAATTCACATACTGTTTACCATGAAAGAGATTAAGAGCCAGGCATGGTGGTTCTCACCTGTAATCCCAGCTGAAGGCCCTAGGTTCAATCCCTAGTATCACAGAAAAGAATAGATTAAGACCATCAAAAGGGATTTCAACCCAAATTTCATGACCCAATAGTTTAAGAAAAATGAGCCTCGTTCCTGTCAGAAAAGTGATCTGTTTTTATCACATCACACTGCAGAATCAGCTCCGTCACAGGATTAGAGTACAGCCATCTGAGGACAAGTCTAAGCAAAAAGAAACAATACTGGATACTGGAATTTGATAAAGACTCCTCAAGAACACGGCATTTAGCTGTTTCACTGACACCTTTCTTCTAAGGATCTCAGAGACAAATGTTATTTACATTACCAACAATCCAAGCAGTAGTGCCATGACCAAATAAAGGGACCTATCAATGGCCTACAGAAATTCAACACTGAAGTTCTCCCCCAGCCCTCTGGCCTAAAAGCAAGATCCAGTTTTAAGTAATAGTAGTGTGGTTTAAGAAAAATTTGGTTTTCCCCCTTGGGTTCCTGGCACACAGCTCCTAAAAACCCTTGGTATTTCATCAGTGATAGAACCACCTTGTTATTCAGGTTCCTTTTGACCACACTGAGTTCACACTAATGAGGTGACTCTAGGTGGACCTCCAGATAGCTTCAGAACGGGGGGGTGGGTGCCAGGAGAGCTAACCTGAGACTGGACAGTTGTCCTGAAACCTTTAACCCCTGGAGAAAGGAGAGGAGCTGGAGACGACTGATGATGGGGTCTGAGAGCTTCTGGGCTGGGGAACACAAGGGTGGGGGACACATAGAAGCGCTGCATCCCACCCCACGCCCTGCCGGGCTCCCTTTTCCTGAGTTATACCCTTGATAGTAAATCAGTAAACGTAAGCAAAGTGTTTCCCAGAGTTCTAGGAGTCCTCCTAGTCGATTATGAACCTCAGGGAAAGTGTGKGAACCCCTGAATCTGCAACCAAGGTGGACAGAAGTGTGGGTGGCCAGGGACTAGTTACTGGCATCTAAAGTTTGTGGGACTCAGCCCTTTAACGTGTGAGATCTGAGACCAACTACAGGCAGACGTGTCAGAACTAAATGGAATTGCTGGTCACCTGGCAGGGTGCTGGAGAGCTGAAGAACTGGTCATGGTGCAGAAGAAACACACAAGCAGCAACTTCTAGTTTATGTTTATAAAGCTCAAAGACACAGCAGATTTGCTGATATAACCAACCTCCCAGCTTACCTTGCTGCAATGTACAAACAGAAAAAGAGAAAAATGTAAGCAATGCTGTCCGAATACTTGCTACCAAAAAGAACTGGCATTAATTTTATGTCGTCTACGTGCCAGGCATTAAGTTAGCATAAATTATATGGAGTGTACAAAACCCTGGGACGTAGATATTGTCCCCAAGAGCACAAGGGAAAATTAAATCTCATAAATTTCCCACTGCACACAGCAAACAGCAGTAACTGGAAACTAAATCTAGTTGTTTTTCTTTTTTTTTCTTTTTTTGTGGTGCTGGGGATTGAACCCAAGGCCTTATGCGTGTGAGGCAAGCGCTCTACTAACTGAGCTCTATCCCCAGCCCCTAAACCTAGTTCTAATACACAAATCCCTGCCACCTTCCACTATTTTTCTTTTTTAAACAGTCCTGGGGATTGAACCCGGTGTATCATTAAGCTACAACCCCAGCCCTTTTCATTTTTAATTTTGAGACAGTTCTCCCCAAGTAGCCCAGACTCCCTTGAATTTCCTGCCTCTGCCTCCCCAGTAGCTGGGATTACAGGTGTGCACCACATACCTGGCTTTCCACCTTCTACATGATACTCTGTATTATGTAGTGTAAAATTATAAACTCTAACATTCTTTGAAGAGAACATGTCCCCGGTACATCTTTAAGAGTCTTGAAAGACGGTCTCTAACTCTGCACATGACCTGTGGTGGTGTCCTCAGGCTACTTTTACTTCCTTTCAAAATTTCTTTTGTGGTTAAACGTGCATGATGTAAAATCTATTATCTTAACCATTGCTAAGTTTAAAGTGCAGTCCGGTCAAGTCCACTCATAATGTTGTGCAGCCATCGGCCATCGTTACCATTCATTTCCAGAAAGACCTCTTCCCTCCAAACCTGTTTTTCTTTCAGTCTTTCCCATCTCAACAAGTAGCAACTACATACTCCAAGATCTGCCCCAACTCCACTTTCTTTCACAGTACCTATTCAATCTACCCTCGAAACCTGTTGACTACACTTGAAAACTATCAACTCAGACTGTGTTGTTACCACAGTCACTGATACCTTCTAGTGCAACATACAGTCTTTTTTTTTGGGGGGGGGGGGGACGGGGGAAGACTAAGGATTAAACAAGGGGCACTTTAACTACTGAGCCCCATTCCCAGCCCTATTTTGTATTTTATCTAGAGACAGAGTCTCCCTGAGTTGGTTAGACCTCGCTGTTGCTGAGGATGGCTTTGAACTCGCAATCCTCCTTCCTCAGCCTCCTGAGCTGCTGGGATGACAGGCGTGTGCCACTGCGCACTCCCTGGTGCAAACTGTCATTTTTTTCTTTCAATTATAATAACAAACTCCTAAGTGGTCCTCCTGCTTTTGCCTTTGCATCTAACTACCAGTTAGATGACCACCAACACAGCAGTCATAGGCAGGATGATGTCAAAATGGAAATCAGACCATGTCGTCCGACTACCCCAAACCTCCAAAGACTTCCCATTTACTCAGGGTAAAAGCTCAAGTCTCACAAAGCAACAGCAGCCTCAGCAGCACCTGGGAACTTATTGGAAATGCGCTCCCCTTCACCTCAGGCCTACGAAATCAGAATCTGAATTAAATGAGGATCTCCAAGGTAATTCCCGGGCACGCTAAAGTTTAAAAGCCTTTCAATATGGCACCATAAAAGAAAGCAGCCACCCTCACCCACCCTAGCCATCCCTCAGCCACATTTCAGCCTCAGGGCCTTGACACTTGCCATTTGCCTTGTCCAGAGGGCTCTTTATATCTGTGTGACTCACTCCCTCACCTCTGCTAAGCCTTTACTCAAATGTCATCTGTGAGGCCTGTGCCACCTATAGTCACTTGATTCCCTCCACAGAACCTTTTCCTGCTCTTACTTTTCTCACTAGACCTTGTCATCATAAATTTTAAAACTGCCAGGGATGGTGGCAGTTTTTAATCCCAATGACTCAGGAGGCTGAGACAGAAAGATCACAAGTTCAAGGCCAGCATAAGCAATTTAGCAGGACTCAAAACAAATGTTTCCGGTTGGGGCTGGGGCTGGGGCTCAGTGGTAGAGCGCCTGCCTCGCCTGGGTTAGATCCTCAGCACCAGTAAAAACAAATAAAGACATTTTTTAAAAAGTTTACAAACTGCATTGTTACATTTAATCTTTACCTTATTTACTCTATGTCCCCATATAACATATTTGCTCTACAGAAGCAAAGAATTTTGTTAGTACCCAGAACACAATGACCATTCAACAGTTGTCAAATACACAAAATAATAAACAAATGAGTTTCCTCTTCAAAGCAATGTCTGTTAGACCTTCACAAATGGTTCCTTACTAAGAAGGTGCCTTTTCTTAACATCACATTCAACAAATCCACTGTTCAAACTACAGTACACTTGAGCACCTATTCGGTAAAAACTTAAGCACTAGAAAAACTTCTGTGCACCCATGATTAAGAATGGAGATTTAGCAGTCTGCTTCATGACTGCAGCAGGCTTATACTATCAGAAAGCCGACAGGAAGACAGCTGAGGCTTTGTGTGAAAAGAACAGACAGGCCTACAGCTCCACAATCCAGCAACGATCCTTCCTATTGATGACATTTTCTCACTTGATTCTTTTTTTTTTTAAATATATACAATAACTTTAATTAATTCACTTATTTTTATGTGGTGCTGAGGATCGAACCCAGGGCCTCACCCATGCTAGGCGAGCACTCTACTGCTGAGCCACAACCCCAGCCCTTCACTTGATTCTTAACAACCCTACGAGACACATAAAACAAGTAACAATTTGCCCATTTTAGAGGTTAGAAAACAAATATATAATTGAATTCTCAAAGCATGGCAGTAATAACGTCAAAACTGAAGTCTGAAGACTCTCAATTTTTAGTTCACAATGGACATTATCACACTTCTTCATGCAAATTATGCAAATGAAACTGAACCAAACCATAAAATCATATATCCTTCTATTATGCTGTAGATACGACTTTTGCCCAAGCCATTGAGGTTTATGCAGAATGAGAATAAAGTTCATCAAAGTCAGAATCTCAACTTAAGGAATTAAGATTCAAACTGCTTCCTGTTACTTCTAAGTCTAATCCAGTGTTGAATAACATTCAGCAAGAATGTTAAGAAATGAGTTAATATAGCGTATATGGTCAAAAAGTTCTTGTTTAGCTATAGAAAAAAAAATGAAAATGGGAGAAAGGAAATTGTCACAGTGACTGAAAGAGAGGAAGGTGTAATGGCTGGGTCATTATTTTGTAATTCTGTCAGTGCCTCACTGATGTGATTTTTGCAGAAAAAAAAAAAGACATACCTCCTCAAAATCCCAGCAATATCTTTCCTTTCTTTGCATAGATGAGGATGAACAGTTGTCATCAAAAATGTTTCCCAAAAAAGTTCTTTTTAAAAAAGACATAGAAATAGAAGATCCATACAAAAAGAGATCCAATCTGGGAGGATGGACTGTCTTCTAAATCTTGTGACCAAGAGCAGCTGTTCACCAAGTGTCAACATCTGAAGGAAGTACTAACTGTGGGTGTGTCTTCTCCAGAGGGGAACACCTGCTGGGACAGAGGGGCAAGAGAAGGAGAAAGAAATTCTACTGAATGCAAAATGACTGGCTGATAGACAATTACCAATTTTCAGGTTGCAAAATTTTTCAACTTAATATTAGCCAACATTAAAAGATCACAGTGGCAATACAAAGAGCCAAGTCAGCTGGCACTGGGGGGGGGGGGGGTTATCAATGACAGCAACAACCAAAGGAATATTTCAGAAGGTAATCCAACTCTCTGGTTACTAACAAATAAGCACGATGGTAAATAAAATATGAAAATCTGTTTCATGTTTTTTATAGCAAGATGATAGTTGTATCCCACAAACAAACAAGCATAGGTACATGTAGGTAGTCTGCCAAGCAGACCAAGTATTCTGGTACTTTAAAAATAAACAGTGAACAAATACTAATGGGAATGACTATGTCAGCAGAAAATGTAGCCTAATCATGCCAATAAATACATATGTAGGTTTGGCAGAGAAACAACGTGGAAACTGAGGGACATCAAAGATAATTTAACACACAGAGTGGTTTTGGGCACCTTTATTGGAGATCGTATAGAACTAGAAATCTGTTCTATTTTGGCAACAAATTCCGTTAATTTCTTGATATCTACCACATCACTGCACTTCTAGAAAACTCCAGATTGCAGAATATGCCTAGTAGGCTGAAGTTAAATACAGTGCATGGGGTTAAAGCAGAAGAGAAGTGAATGTAAAGACACAGCAAGAGAAACTAAGCAAAATGAAACTGAGAAAACCACAGGACAGGAGAAAAAGAGCAGAGCACCCTTGAGCTATGGGATGATCTCCAGCAGGAGATGTATAACTGGAATGAGAGAAATAATAACCAAAGATTTTCCAAATTTGATGAAAACTGTAAGATCACAGATTCAAAAAGCTCAATACACACCAATGTCAAAATAAAACATGTGCATAGAGAGCTAAAACTCCACCAAAGCACATGAAAATCAAATTACTTAAAATTAGAGACAAGGAAAAATCTTAAAAGGAGCCAGAAGAAAATGGAACTGGAAAAATTATTTCAAAATCGTATATGTAAAAAGTGATTTATATCCAAAGAACCCTTAAAACTCAACAATGACAACAAAAAGCAAACAATTTGACTCAAAAACAGAAAAACAGGCTGGATGTTAATCAGTGGGAGAGTAAGAATCTAGCACGTGTGAGGCCTGGGGTTCAATTGCCATCACTGAAAACACACACACACACACACACACACACACACACACACACACAGACACACACAGACACACAGGACCTGAACTGACATTTCTAACACAGAAGATACAAGAATGGCCAATAAATACATAAAAAGATGCTCAAAACCTCCAACAGAGAAAAGCAAATCAGAATTATAATGCAAATCAAAACCACCTCGTATCAATTAGGATGGTTACTATAAAAAATATAAATATGTGTGTACTGGTGAGGATGTGAAGAAACCAGAACCCTTGTGAACTATTGGTGGGAAGGTACAATGGTAAAATCTCTGTGGGAAACTATACTGCAGTTTCTCAAAAAAAAAATTGAATGTAATTCAATCCCCAGCATCAAAACAGAAAAAGAAAATATACATGTATGCACATGCGTGCACATACACACAAACAGAATTATTACATGATCCAACAATTCCACTCTGGTTACATACCCAAAGACTGAAAGCAGGGTCTTTAAGAGATACTTGCATACTCGTGTTCACAGAAGCATTACTCCTAACAGCTAAAATAAGGAAGCAACGCAAGCATTCATCCTGAATGAATGGATATGAATGGATAAGCAAATATATATGTGGAATATACATATATGTATATGTGGAATATATATATATAATGGAATATTATTCAGTCTTAAAAGGAAAAAAATTTTTATCCATGCCACAACATGAATGAACCCTGAGTACATTATGTACATTATTTTGTCACAAACACTGTCTGATTCCTCTTATATGAAGTACCTAAGAGTAGTCACATTCACAGGTAGGTGCCAGGAGCTGAGAGATGGGAATTGGGCTATTAGAGTTTATTAGGTACCAAGTTTTAACTCTGCAAGATGAAAGAGTTCTGGGAGTGGATGTAAGAATGGCTATAACATTAAGAGTGTACTTCATGCCAATGAACTGTATGCTTGAAAATGGTTAACAGATTTTACATCATGTGCATTTAACTACAAAACAAAATCTTTGAAAGGAAAATAAAAGTAGCCCAAGGAAAACAATCACACATCATGAACACAGGAAGAAACAGTAAACCCAGTGACGACAGACTTCTCAGAAACCATGAAGAGCAGATGCAGATCAACATCGTTAAAGTACTAAAAGAATAAATCTATCAACCTAGATTTCTATACCCAATGAACATAGTGCCTACAAATGAAGGCAAATTAAACACGCCTTCAGAAATGCAAGCTAAAAGGATTCATCACCAGCAAACCTGCATTACAAGAAGTCCTCTGGGCTGGGGTTGTGGCTCAGTGGTAGAGTGCTTGCGTAGAACATGTGAGGCACTGGGTTCAATCTTGAGCACCACATAAAAATAAATAAATAACGTAAAGGTATTGTGTCCATCTACGACTAAAAAAAAAGTAATATCCCACAGAAACCTGAAACTACACAAAAGAATGAAGAGTCCTGGAAATGATAAACAAATACACACACACACACACACACACACACACACAGACAGGGATTTTTATTATAATGAGACATTATTACAAAAAATAGCACTATGAAGAATTTTCACAAACCAACTGCGGTGAAGCACACTTGTAATCCCAGCAACTCAGGAGGCTGAGGCAGGAGGATCACAAGCCTGGGCAATTTAGCAAGGCCCTGTCTCAAAATAAAATAAAAAGGGCTACAGATCTGGGTCAGTGGTAGTTCAATTCCAAGTACTGCAAAAAGAAAAAAAAATTACAATAAACTATCTGCCAATATGCCCATCTTCCAAAATTTAAAATATTGTGATTAACGGAACTCATTTACCATCACACTTTGCTATAAATTAGAATCAATATCATTCCTTTTTTAGAAGGAGGAGCTCTATGAGCTGGGGATGTCGCTCAGTGCTCTAGCACTTGCCCAGCATGCTCAAGGGCCTGGGCTCAATTGCTGCAGCACCTTAAAAAAAAAAAAAAAAAAAAAAAAAAAAAAAAAGCTCTAAGGTACAAGCTAGCTACTTGTCTGAATAGAGTCCGTCTTTTGAAGAAATAAAATTAAAACTAAAATCTTCTTTAGCCATCCCCACATTCTATTACACAGGCACTGGTCTGACACGCCTCTGAAGGAACTGCCTACAGAACTGGGCATGATGACACATGCCTGTGATCCCAGCTACTGGGGAAACTGAGGCAGGAGGATCTTGGGTTGGAGGCCTGCCTGGGAAATAAAGTGAGACCCTCATCTAAAAAAAGATAAAAAAAAAAAAGAAAAAGAAAAAGAAAAGAAAAAAACTAAAGGGGTTGCCTATAGAGAAATTCCTTTAGAGCAGGTGTAGTGGTGGTCAATATATAATCTACCTAGTTTTCAGTGTCTCCAGGGGACCTGGAAGTCACTTAGAAATGAGTTACAAGGATAGCAAAGAATGTGCCCTGTTTTGAAGTCTGAAAAACAACATTAAGTTTCAATGAATGGGTCAGGATGCCCCAAACTGGCAAGAGGAGAAAACTTTTGCCAAGTCTTCCTGAAGAAAATGAATTTGTCAAAGCAAAAGCTTCAAAATGAAGCTTCAGGGTCAGAGGCTGAAACAGGAAAAGAAAAACAACAATATCTGACACTACTCTATGATAGTTCAAACACCAGGGGAAATGTGGTGAGTGAGAATAAAATCACTGTAATACAATATCCCTGATGCCAAATAGATTACAGGATGGGAATCCTGCCTACTATCCCTCTGAATACATAATGGGAAATACAATTCCTACAGTGAGATTCCTTAAGACCATTAACCACCTGTTTTTTTTCTTTTCTTTTCTTTTTCGTCCTGGTACTGGAGACTGAACTCAGCAACTTTACCACTTAGATTTTGAGACAGGGTTTCTGTATGTGCTGGTTGGGCTGGGGCTGGGGCGCAGTGGTAGAGCACTTACCTAGCATGTGTGAGGCACTGGGTTCGATTCTCAGCATCACATATAAATAAAGTCCACTGACAACTAAAAAAAAAATTAAAAAAAAAAAAAAAAAAAGCCTGCTCTAGTTGGCAACTCAAACTTATGATCCTCCTTCGGTAGCCTGAGTAGCTGGGATCACAGGCATGTGCCACCACACCCAGCTTCACCAGTAGATCTTATTTACAACTTCTTGTGAGAGATCATTTGCTATTTTCAGAGAGAAAACTGAGTGATACATAATTCAGGAAGTTTCTGTGACAGAATTCCAGAGGAAGTCAACCTACTGTTACCTCATCTGAACCAAAATTCTCCATTCTATAAAATGGGAGTCAAGACAATAAGAAAACTACGCGAATTCAGTATTCACTGAATACCATGTCAGGGAGAAGTAGCAATCTTCCAGCATTTTACCCCAAGTCAAAACACTGGGTAACATTCCACTTTATAAGACAACAAATTTATCCTAAGAAATACACAGGTTACACGTGCAGGAGAATGGACAGCATATGTTCAAACAAAAAAGTACACAACAATGTTCAGGGCAGGTTTGTTTTTTTTTTAAAGGTACTGGGAATTGAACCCAGGGGCAATTTACCACTGAATTACATTCCTAGACCTTTATTTTGAGATAGGAATAGGGCCTTCAACCTGTGATCCTCCTGCCTCAGCCTCCTGAGTCCTGGGATGACAGGCATGGCCACCATACTCAGCTCCAAATGTTAGTATTTGTATTTCCCACTACTTGAAAAATTGCTTTGCTAGTTTAAAAAAGAAAGAAGGAAGGAAAACACTTAAAATTTTTAACATAGTTATTCTAGAAAAGGCACAACTATAGAGATAATAAACAGATCAGCGAGTGGCTGCCAACAGCTGTTGTGGG